ACAAACCTTGTATCCTTGAATAAAAACCGATTCTCAGGCCTTAAGTATATTTAATTTTATCAGAAGTGGTACAACCGGTTTAAAGTAAGTTCATTATTAAATCGGAGTGAGAATTATATCTGTACAAGTTTCTGTCCACAAGGTGTGAGTGTCTGGCAGAAGTTTTACATTTTATAAAATGCCCCTCAGATGCCTCTAATAAATTCAAGGATGGAGTGTGGAAAGGGAACCATTTATTGTGGTCGCATTTTGTTATTCCTGTAATTGAATTTTAACATTGTCTGGGATGCGGCTTTTAGCTAATTATTTCCATTATTTGTTTCTAGCGGAAAAAGTATACAATATTTCCAGGAGTTATGTGAAGATAACGATTAATTGATAGGAAATGACGTCGTTTTCCTTTATTGGATACTGCAGCAGCATTAAATGGATATTTATTTAAGAATACTCCTGATCATGACGCATTCACTTTCTGTTAAAAATATATCCATGACATGGTTACCCTTGAAATAAGAAGAACAAGCCCAGGGTTTATCGATTAGACTGCGCGCGATTCTCCCATGGGCACCAGAGTTATTTACACTCCAATGACATGCGCGCTGAACCAATCAATGTGGTCGGTGTTCGTGGTCAGACAGGCACAAATGGCGTGTGCGTGCGCGTGTGCAATTGCTGTAGTTGCACAAGACACACGTACACAGAAGCACACAATCGTTTAACCCTCGCACACTTAAGTACGTGCCAAAAGTCTCCGATTCCCCGAGTGTGTGTGTGTGCATAATTACAAATATCACCTTCTTGACCTTCTTGATGCCTATTCCGTTGAGGAACAGGAGAATGTTCTAGGATCAATTTTTTTGTTTCGTCTCTTTCTTATATGGCTGTATATCGATCTGAAATGTCAGTCCCCATACGCATTGAGACTAGTGGAATTCAACAACCTACAATCGTGCCTGTGGTCAGTGAGAAGGACTACGGTACACTCGGTGGAAAATCTTCATCCTCAACCTGGTTTGAAAAATCTCACGATGACCTTTTCGGTCGTTTTGATGACACGTTGATGGCAGTCCGTCGATCTGATAGTGAACGCTGGTTTGAGGATATGAGAAAACGTTTTGATGAACGGCGGCGCCAGTGGGATGCAGAGATGCGTCAGATGAGATCGTCGTTTTTCAACACCCCTACCTTTCCGATGAGTAGGCCAGAGACTTCGGGTCATTTTGCTAGACGCCATTCACCACCACCATCCTACGATGACTGTCCGGTGGTAACGAGTTATGAACGTGGGGAGGACGGAAACCTTCACTTCTTGGCGCAGTTTGATGTCCGGACTTTCCTTCAGGAGGAAGTCAGTGTGGTTGTTCGTGAGGGACAAATCGTGGTGACTGCGTGTCGGGAGCAGCGCATCGGTACCAGTTCAACCTCAAAGCAGTTGACCAGGACTGTAGATCTTCCTAAAGGAGCCCAGGAATCCCTAATTACAGCCTCAATCAGCGCAGACAATATTTTATTAGTAGATGTTCCCATCGAACCACATGCACAGAGTCCAGCTTTTACAACTGCCTCGGGAAGTAGCGGCAGGAGTTGCCTCACGACACCTTCGACACTGTCAGGGACTGGGCGTAGTAGTCACCTTTCGTCGAGAGCATCTCCAGCTCCCTTATCAATAAATGTTCACTCGAAGCCCAGGTTCAACGTCGAGATTCCTATGGGTAGTGATTATCTGCCAAACGAGATCCAAATACGAACCTTAAATAACCGGGTTTATATAAGTGCACGACATGAAGAGCGCTTGTCCAATAGGAATACTTTTCGCGAGTTTTCAAAGGAGTATGACATTCCAGAACATATCGACCCGAAGTCAATTAGCGCTCGCCTGGAGCACGGTATCCTGCATTTGGAGGGTTCTGCATTAACACGGGATTGTGAATTTATGGATGCTTAACAAACAAGGCCTCCCTACTACTACCACCTTTCGTGAGTATATACACCCCATCCAAACCATTGGTTGTACATAGCGCCCAGCCAACGAACATTACTTAGCATTTTGGGCTAAAGTGGCATCGTTATTTCGAATAGTAAGGGCACTCCAGGCCTACTATTGCCTTTGCACCTCAAGTATTTCTTATTCGAGCTACAAGCTTAAACCTCTACTGCGGGTGTCTATTAAAACGAGTGTGTACATTGCGTATTTGCATTCTGCTTTTCCTCCTTGGCCTTAAAATTTGTGGGTCTACTGTCTTGAAAATGAAAAACCCTTGTTTGATGATTAAATTTATCAGCCTATTTTCCTATTCAAATGCTTGCTCAGAATCTTCTCGATAAATTTCTGTTAGTCAAATTAATAGGATCCTAGAGACAAATGTGGTCTGAGTTTTTTTAGAAAAAATAACGGGTTGCTCAACCAATTTCTGTGGTCAGGTTGCAAATGACCGCAGTTTGCTGCGCCTTCTTGATTACAATAGTGAAAACCATTCAATATTCTAGCTTTAGCAGGTATGCATACCTAGAATGAAGAGCAAAAGTTTGTTGATTGCTCTCCACAAAACAAAGTAGCTCATTTCATAAAAATTAAAGTTACAAATTAATGACTAAGCATCAACTGCAGATTCTATATAAACTGACATGCATTTGAAAAGGATTCAGAGCAGGAGTTCGAACGGAGACAAAAATCAATCGCTAATTGCAGTGTTAATGGGAAACGGAACGTTCTCGCATTAAAGATTTTCTATGAAATGCAACCCAAAGGCTATTTGAGGGAAATACAACAAGCTCTCGCTCTTCCAAATTAGACACAGTTTTGACTATGTTAATGGAGCGGAGCTGCAATCTTTCAAGTTTCTTGACCACAAGCGTTCAAGAGTTGTAAATTCATTATAAATCACTATGTTCGCGATTTTAACTATGTACCAAAGTTTCACTTAAAGTTCCGATTTAATTGGTCTTTCTTCCGAATCCAGCGACAACACACACGTAGTACAAGGGATAATTTTTAAGGAACATTTAATAAAGCGCGATTTGGTCAAGAATTTGGGAATTCAAAGGACTTGCTTTACGATATTGCACACTCTTCTTCCATCGCGACGATAGCCATTTCTTTTTTATTGGAGCTTCCAGTGCTGTAGCACAGATAACCTTCGACATTCAATCACACACATGACCCAGTGACCAGAAGTGGCCCTTCGAAATTGCAAAACTTGCCAAGTCAGACGGCGAGTGTTCACCCGGGATTCTCGTCTTCGTAGGTAGGGGCAGTGGTGGGCGAGTAATTACTGTCCTTGATGGAATGAACAAATCTCTCGAAAGGCTAACGGTGAAGTCACTAAGCGAAGGGTGATTTGGTGTAGCTACAGCACAAGTCCGTGATATATCTGAACTCAGTGAACGATAATGGAGAGGATGGCAATTAATACGATTTAGTAGACAGCACGAAAGTGTGTGTGGTAGTTGATTGGGTCATTACCAATCAACAGAAAGCATCAGTCAACTTTGCGGAAAATTAACATTCTTGAACCGTTTAAACAGCGAATGTATTCATGAGACAATGGTCTTGTATTTTTCACGAAGCATGATGAACGCCCGTTGGGAGGCTTTTTTTTCAACATTTGTGCTACTTTTGGCATGAGGGGGTGTTTAAAACTTCCATACTTTATTTCATAAAGATCACTATAACCAAGCCTTAATTATGGCGACTTGATGACGCAGCAAGCACTCTTTGAATGAACGTACGGTCTGAGACGAACCCGTTCGAGATATTACACCGATATACTCTGCCCTTATTTTGTCTTGATCGTAAAACCAACCTAACTTGTGCAGTAGGTCCTTCGGGCATCCGAGATACTACACCTCTTTTGCCGTGTGTCAAACGCTGTTGCCAAGGCTGGTTGAGTCGTACGAACTCGTCAAGTGTTATAAACTTTTTGAGATCACGTCATCATGACTGTGTGAAAGATACGTAGATTTGACACAACTGGGTCAGCACCATGGGTGGTCCTAATGCAATACCCCAAGCGATTTCAAGACACACGTAATCACTTAACAAAATTCAATGACTGACAATAGAATTGAGGATTACGACATGGGTGGCGCAACACTGACGGCTAACTGGACAATGTTAACTTCGCTTGTGGCGACTGATATCAGTTGATTCCGAAGGCATAAAACGAGCTGTTAATTCCAGATACTGGGAATAGAACAGCGGAAAGGTGCAACTTAGAGCTGCATACTCAAATTTCCACAACTGGAACCCAGTATTATTCAGCACTGAAAGAATCAAAAAAGCATAAATTTAGGGAGCCAATTTCATGTATTAATCCGATTTAATTTTGTGTATATTCATTCCACTGGTTACTTCGGTAGTATGCCATGCGAAGGAGCCCAATTGCCTTTGTTATCAACAGGAGCTGTGTGCCTTCCTCGTGCCTTAGTCTAACTGGAAGTCAATGAAAACTACATTCATAACCCACTATAGTCAATGACAAGCAATATTATACATGGCATTCATGAATTTACCACTGATAATGCGCTGAGGTCGCATGAAGTTTCCTACACACGTGGCAAGCGCATTTAAAACAATCGAAATTGACTGTTTGGCAATACTAGAAACTTCATAAGACTAAAACTTTCCAGGCCAAAGAAAAAATAATAGGAAGGGTATATGTCAAAGTTCATTTACATGAAAAAGTTGAACAAGAGTAAATGAACACAGAAGATACTTCACATCAATATGATTTTCACGTCTTTTCAGAACCCTTTGCGAATGAATCTGATCCCTTCGGATATGTGGCTTCGGCTTCCTTAATAAGAAGGTCCACCTCACTTTGAGGAATAATCCTGACGTAGGTTTTGTCATCCTTTCTTTGCAAGATGCCAACTTCAACCTAAGATATTGAATGAACATGAAATAGACTGAATTTAAGCAAGCGATGAAGCATTCCAAAATACTACGACAGGAATCTCAGCAATTAAAAAAGTGAGCTTTAGATCCATCAAAAGTGGATTTATTCTCCGAAAAGAAACATGAGCATGGACAACTAACAGTGTAGTAAATGAGGGCAAAAAGACGACTTTTTTGATCCACACAAAAAGGCCGTTTTTGCAAATCAACGAACGTTAGCCAAAAATGTTAACTAGGTGAGATGCAAACATCCATTTAAAAAAGCATAAGTTAGCCCTACAGCTAAAATAAGTTCTGGGATTGATACCATTAATTGCGTAAACGTATGTTAAGACGAAAAAATTGCATTTGTTAATACGGTTGAGAGTTCAACTGGCGTCACTGTCATTAAAGATTTCCTGATGCATAAAAAGAAAGGCATGGTGTGCGGAAACACCGAAATGTGGAAATAAATAACCAAATCAAGTAGAAAAAAATGGATTTACAAAAATAACGGCAGACCACGAATTTTATAAAGTTATATAGCTAAGATATCACAAACTGAAAATGAACTTGTAGAGCAAAATACAGTACAAGTTACCAGTTGCGATCAAAATAAACTGTGGTCAAGATGATTAAGCATACCTTATCTGAAGTCAATTTAGACATAGTCATTGTCTTGTAGAGCACTTTGATACAAAGCTTTACTGCGTCCTCCACGGAGCACTCAGCGTTATAATCTGACTCGAGGATCGAAGAAGCGGCAGATGAGTTAGATCCAATGCAAGCAGCCTTCCAACCCAAAAAGTTACCCGACGGGTCATTCTGATAAAGCTGATAGCCGTAGTGTTTATCCCAACCCATGAAAAGCATCGATACACCAAATGGTCGCCGACCACCGTACATTGTATAACCATGTTGAAGATCACATATGTGGCTTACCAACTGTTCTACCGGTATTGGCTCTTGATAGGCAAGAAGATACCTACAATAGGGCAACGTAAGAAGCGATAAGGGATACAAAAACTACAAACCCAGTAAATTATATCCGTTGTACAACTTAGCTTCAACTAAAAAAATCATATCCACAAGGTCACTGTTATAGACAGTAGGGGTTGTACCAAACCAAACAAAACCCCTTCACTCGAAAACAAGCATATTTATCTCTCGAAAACGAAACAGAAGCACTATAGAGAATACACTAAATTAATATGCTAAGCTGCGGGATTTTATCGTGTTCCTCATGAAATAGACACAGTATAATCAACAGGAAGGTTAGATTTCGTGGTTACGTTCGATGAACCATTAAAATAATAGGTATTTTAGATTAAAGAGAGGGAATTTAGAGTTATGAATGTCTGAAAAGCAGCCTGTGGAAGCAGAGACGCAGAAAACACCCATTATAACTGCCGATTTGACTTATTACTTTCCCTGAATAAAACAGTACCTTTGAGCGATAAGTCTCATTTCATTAATTAAGACAGTAGCATCAGCCGTGATTCCGGCGACAGCACAAGCAATGTCATCATTGATTCTGAAAATCTTTTCAGAAAAAGCTGATTCATCCAAAAGCTTGTTGATAAAACGCTTCTCGCCAGCAAGGATGATTCCATCTTTAGCAACAATACCAAGACAAGTTGGGGCATGACCGACAGCTTCAATAGCATACTCGACCTGATATAATCGACCTTAAAAGCGTTGCCAACAACAAATAAAGATTTACCTTCAGGTGAAAAGATAGTTGTCCTAGTGTCATAACGCCGAGCCTTAAGGAATAATAGTAATGTGGCAAAATTACACATACCATATTTCAGCAAAAAAATTGAAAGCACGCGAAAATAAAAAGTTAACTAAAAGCAGTCATTTTTGTGGAAATATTATTCATCCAATAAATGATACCATCTTCTAACCATAAAATGTTGTTCCATAATTGATTGCGGCATTATGCTATTGTATACTTTTTTGAAAGGGCTCTGCTATAAGTTTGTGGTGACATTCTGTTTCGCTAATCCAGCTCTATTCAACAAAAATGTATTTAATTGTAGAAATCAGTTTAATAAATAATTTCATCATCGATCCTATACAATATGGTGCACTGAAAGTCAGATTGTTTGGGACCTTACTGTAGTACGTTTGTCGGGGAATGTCTAGTATATCCTTAGAATTCACGTAAATTTTAAATATTAATTCGGTGTTATGGGTCTCCTCACAGGTCTCTTTTTAGAGGAATTAAAAGTGCCAAAATTTCAGTTTATGACTTAATTACTAAACTTAACATTTTCCATGGCAAAAGTGAAACCATAATCATCAGTGCCTAGGTTTTAGATCTCAGAGGACTCTCATAGTTCCGATAGCTGTCGTCAAATCCACTAATGCTATACTTGACCTCAAAGGCAAATGTGATTTTTTCCGTAAATTATAGTGATAATATTAGCCGTACTGGAAAAAATGCTAAATATTCGACATCTTAAAATCACAGCATCAGAAAAAAAATAAAACATGTTGCCAGTCTGATATAGGTTAACACTTTGATGGAAGCATTACGGAAAGTAATTCGAACCAGGATAAATCATCGATGTACTTGTGCTAGTATCATACAAAGCGATAAGGAGTGTTTTAACTTTATCCTGATTCCATAATTTCATCTATTGTTTAATAATAAGACGCAAAGTTATAGGCTAGTTCGGATATGAGATACCAAATTGAACTGACTACATTATGTAACCCGCGATTCAGCTATCGGGCCTTGGTTACATGATCAACATGTTGAGGCACAAACGTTTAAGAGAATAAATGGCTAAATCGGCATTTGTCCACGTCGGCTACAAGGCTCTCGCCGTCAGATTACTTGTTTAATATCAAAAATAACTTCTTTTTTACTAATATATCTTGGATTCTGATATTAAATTAAGCAATATTACGAGGTACAGAGTCCATGAATCATAATTTTAGGTTGAGCATTTAGACGTTAAAGGGGTCTTGTTAGAAAATATCGTTAAATATTTCGAGGCAGCATAACTTGCGTTAAAATATGTTGTAATACTGATCGTGCATCTTTGAAACGTCGAGTAGCTGGAGTATGATGATTAACGTCGAAACTGGTTCTTAACCCAAGGACTTGATGCCAAAACCTATTGTCGCTTACACGAGTAGCAACCAAAAATGGAACAATATACTCTTGATTTTTGATGACCAAGCTTTGCAAATAAGTCGGACTTCTATTAAATGGTATTTGAACAATTTTTTAACTAATAAACGTCGAATAAATTATTATAAACACAAATCTTCTCCACCAGTAAAGTAAAACCACTTGCAGATTCCACCGTTTACTCAAAAAATTTGCGAAACTGAATAAATAATCTATATTATAATTTGAGTTATACGGGAAAGAGAAGAACAGTCACAAATATACACACAAATTAATGAAAATGTAAGGAATAAGCACAGTTTCTCATGGGCTCAGGAAAAAGGCTCCGTTTCTCCGATGTTTGGTATTAATAGTGAAGTAAGGATTGGAGTTTTCTTCGTTTCGAAAATAGCTGAAAAAAATCAAATTAACGTAATGAAAACAAAAATAAGTTTCGTTCGGCATACCACAACTAGGAAGAGCCAAAGTAGATTTCCGTTATTGAGTAGGATAGCTACTTGCCTTACGAAAATGTGTTATGAAATACCACTATTAGTTTAGGACCTAAAACTGATGGGACAATTGAGAAGCAGTGTTGACTCGAAATTTTCTGTGTTAGCGATTTTCCAATTTAACGGCACAAGGGAACTTGAGCCAGTCCTGGGTTTTCCAGCGGGCATAGGTTAAGTAATTTGATTAAAATACTTGTACCTGAAGTAATGAGATACCACGGAAGGCTCACATAAGTGACCGCAGTTTTGATGGGCAGAGATGCAACTCTCCGTCGCTCTTTAAACCACTGCCAAGCTTGGCCAAATGTCGCCTGTCTCTCTACGATTGCGTCAGCGTTGGTCTCAGTGCATGGCACAGGAGCAAGCGGAAAGTCGTCGAATTCTGTATAGAGAAGAAAAGGCACACATAATCGTGTAGTCTTATAATAACCATCAACAGGATAGCTTTTGAATTGATAAACTTAGAAACGATTTTCGATATGTTTAAGATAAAAGTATTGGCTACAAATTAAGCGAAGAAGGTTAGTTAGGCGAACTTAATAAAGTGGAAAACGGTGGGGAAAAAATAAGCAAAAACAACTATCATATTAGCCCGTGGCTCGAAGAAAAACGCTAAATGCTTATTTTCCTCGAAATAGACCGGGTACCTGTATGATATGATTACCCTTGTTATTAGCAAACGCCTAAATGATGGATTAAAAGAACACAGGCGTTTTAGCTTCGAAAATATACAGAAAGAGTTGAAACAGAGGCAGCTGTGAAGTGGAGAAGTAGAGCAGCGTGTGAACTGAAGCATAAATAATTATCCTAACGTGATACAAACGAGTCAAACGACAACAGCAAGGATCCCTGAGCGCAAACTGACATAATGAAACTTAAATATTTGCTTTCATTGGTCATACGATAAGGCGATTTGTAGTGAATCGTGTGGATTCACATCCAATAGCCCGGTCGTCGCAGCCTCCCACACACGTCCCCCTTTTCACTGGGATCGCCTGCTCATTCACCCCTCCGTATGTACCACCACCACCCGCTCTATCCATGCAACCTTTCACATGCCTGAATTTTTACTAGTCCACTCAACTGTATCAGTCAGCAAACACAAATTCCTTGAGCTGTCGAGTAAACGATTGTGCCTCGTCCTCTCTGGTCCCCCCTAGGGTAGCGTACTCTGGCTAGATTCGACGCAGTGGCTCCGGCGTGGCTTAGACCAACATGCCAGGGCCCTCAACAGATTCAGCCTCATAAATTACTGATAAATACACCCTATTTCAGTGCCAATAGTTGTTAGTATTTCCTAAATGAATTTGAACTCCCAAAATTTGTATTACAGACCTTAAAAAGTAGAAATAATGAAGCATTGGATTCGGTATTGCACAACATCATGATTACAGGACATATCTCAAAAAGGGAGGACTTGCCATCTTCAAAGGTGCTAGACTCGACTTCGATGCAGTTCTTAGTTGGTCGAAAACGCTCGGGCGAGTTATTCAGATTATCACTGTCTGACCTTGCTTTCCGGAAGTGGCTAAGCTGTTGTAATCTAGTATGAAAAGGACGTTTTCGACGATTGGTGACCGCGCCAGCGACAAGTTGGCTGATCTGTGATTGGCCCAAATTAGAATTTGAGGTGCACTCGAGGGCGGTCTTGCTTGGAGATGGTCGGGGACGTCGTCCTCGTAGATAAGAGTCAGAGCGCAGTGGACTTGTCGTGGCAGACCGATGAGCAAAGACAGGGCGTTTGCGTTGCGGTCGCGAGCTCCTGGTCTGCATAACAGGATACAACTACTCACGTAAATAACAATAGCTTGGCTTTGACTATACAGAAATCACAATTGCTCACAGAACGAAACTGATGATGACAAGGCCAAGAATACCTTTAGTTATGATATAAACTGACGCATGTGATGTTTTCCATGTTTTCATGGTGTGTCCTGTGTGCGATGCAGAAGTTACGCACCAGAGGGACCTTGATTGAGAAGCTACATATAGAACGTTTTGAGCAGAAAAGAAGTCCAAAGAATATCAGGAAAAACCCTATTTCCAATTTCTTGACGTGGGTTCATCATTGGGCCCAAAACCGAAGATAAGACATGGACACACAAGCATATTCGCACAAGCTTAGTGAGGTGCATTTTTAACAGACAATTACAAGTATCGATACTGCGAATTCGAAGCGCTTCAATACAAAGCCTAATTTGCAACCCACACAAGCGATGGACAAGACCTGGGTGCTAGCTCGCGGCCGGCACGTGAGAGGCACCGGAGACTAGTGCTCCAACCTCTCGGCGGCAACGTACCAAAAAATGACGCAAGGTCCCGGAAATACGTTTTTATAGGTAAAACAGAGTGCAAGGACAGGAAACATACGTATTCTAGCAAAAGGCTTGAATTGGATACTATGCAAACAGGGGAAGCAAAGTCTCACGATAATACATCGCCGTTGCCAACAGGTGCCCTGATATCAGAAGGCGCAGCGAAAACAAGGCCAGTAACTCTACCTTATAAAAAATAATGCCAGACAAACATTTGCAATCACAAAGATGAAATAAAAGTAAACACAAAGGCGAAGTCGCACCTTCCATGTCTTCGTTAATCCATGAGAATGATCGAAAAAGGCTGTATTTTATTTTTTCAAAAAGCGATTTGCTGAGTTTTATTCAAATTCAACTGAAAAAAGGATTAATTTAACAATCATAAAGTGATACCTGGTTTTTTGATTCACGAATCATCTTAACTTGTGTCAAGAACTAATAATCAAATAAAAGCGATAAGGTTGTTGGTCAAACAATTATGATTTGAAGGTACCTTCTCGGGAGAGATGTTCTCGGTTGCCTCATCGAAAGCGTTGGATGAGGTAGACAGTCGGTAAAAACAATTATTAGCATCTTTTTGATAGTCGTGATGTGGATATTCCGTCTGATGAACCACTACCTCAGCGATACCCTCACTCCTATTGGCCAGCATTCGAAGGAATGCCTTTGAGGACGAACCGGTACCAGCAGCCGATGCTTTTGCTGAGGCGAAAGACCAATTATTCTGACTATTCACCTAACAAAAACACGAGTTCTACGTAGAAGACAAGTGACCAATTCAATTATGGGGTCTGCAGTATGCACGATGGGCACCAGGTCAGACTTCCCCCACTACCCAATGGTTAGCCACCGAACTAGTAGATTGTAACTGTACAAAACAATAAATGGTCCCCTGTCGCCGATATAAATCCCCACTCTAATGGTCAAACAGAATTAAGCCAAAGCAATTCAGATGATGAATTAACCACGAATACAATGTCACAGAAAGTCCATAGATGATAAGAGTACATTTAATTTAGTTGTCAAATCGATTCAAATCAGTTTTCTGATAAATACCAACTATCGGTCCCAGAAATCGGCTCTTTAGAAGGTATTATCGACATCTTCAAATAAAAAACCTACTGGACAGGGAAGATTGCTCTGTTAGTAGAGCAAGCTTACTTGGATGTCGTGTGCATTCTTCAGAGTGGAATAGCGCACAATCCCTTCGAATAGTACGCCTTGAAGAGCACCACGTCGGTCGTATGCTGTCAGCTCGACACACAGACATTCGCTATCACGGAGAACGCAGTCCGTAAAAACCTTTTAGGCAAGTTCAAAAATTAGCACGACAGACACACAAAGCCAGCTACAATCCACTTTATGGGAAACCTGAACCACTGCGTTACTCGTTAATAGGCCCAGTGAATTTATTTACAGTAATTTTGGTGCAACACGAAGACAATGCACATTTATATTGCATTATGACAGTCGGAGAGACAGTAATGAAGTGTTATGCGTCTTTATTTATGATGGTCAAAGTGGCACCAAACAAACGGCTTAAAAATTACAGATACTCGTAACAAACAGTTAAAATGTAACTTAGTATTTCCAAAAGGGACTCGACGTTTAAAAACAAAATTTTATTTTCTTTTTTGTAATTGTTAATAACAACCAGAATTTGGTTACGTTGGGGCCACTCTGGACTACAGGTAAGGAATATAAAAAAAATAGTGGAAGCAGTTCTGTGTGTGTAAAATGCCTCACAAAAACTTACATCTTCGAAGTTATCTATTGGGAAAACGACATGCGGATATACAATTGACTCTTGCGTTCCCTTTGAATTCATTGGTCGATAACTAGGGGAAGCGTAAACGACCTAAAATAAAGAGTATACGTTATGATACTGATTCTACTTAAAAAAACTCAGGTGTGTAAGGCTGGTAAAACAAGTTGAAAAAGTGCATTATCAATGTAGACGAAAAGTAGACAGACAGATAAATAAGACACCAAGACTTGGACCTAAGCGATTAGTTATTTAACAACAATACCTATGATGGACTGCTGTCTAATTTCCCGTGGTAAATCTAGGTACACGAGTTAATCGTCCGTAAGTTCACTGAGTGACATTTGTACATTTACAACGGCTTACTAATCGTTAAACATTTTTGTGCTCATAACATTTGAGTACAAGTAAAAAGCTCAGGAATTTTAAAATGTTGAAGTTGCTTCGGACATTGCAAACAGACAAGGAGCCAAGAAATCGTTTTACTAATTGCAACACAGTAATGATGACAGAAAGTGAAGCCACAAATGGAAAACCAAAACATAATGTGTCAAAAAATCGATTGAAATTACGAACCATGAAGTGATTATGGAGTTTAAATAGTACACAAATGTTCAATAACCGAATACCTGTGATTTTTTCTTCAATATCTCTACTTCCTGCGCACCAGAGCGAGTGCATATGCCCAAGGTGACAATATAAATAAACTGAAAATGAAAAAAAAAACGGAGATCAAAAGTATGGAACATTGTCGCTTATCAAAGCACATACGCATTGAACTATAAGATTTAGATAGACTGTATTTTCCCAGTTGACAGGAATATCCTTATAGGGCGGAATATTGGGGCTGCCTCGGCGAAAAACGTGCACACAGGGCTACAAGCAAAAAATATCAAAAATACAAGTATACCTTTGAATATCTAAATTTAGACTGTCCTACGAAAAATAGAAGATCATCAGAGGATGCACTGTCAATGAAGTGCAATCCATTTGGAGAAAGAAAAGTTGAACTGAATAGATCGGCCCAAAACGTATCCCTCGTTGAACCAGATTTCCGATTTATTGAACTTGAATCGGCTGTATCTACAAGAAAACTAGATTCACATTTCCATACTTCTCCGAATGGTATCGGAAGAATATTTCTGTATATTGAGACAATGACGGGTGCATGTAAATATCTCAATGATTTTACATATTTGTTGGTAAGTCTTTCGAAAGACCCACGCGGTAACCTGTCACACCTACAATGACATTATAAGATGAATAAGTAGCTGTAAGGATTAAGAACTAACAGTAAGGATCGACGCCTTACGCAATGACGTTTGCACATGGTCATATTAAATAGTGATAGAACTGGCATAATATAAAAGCGTGGAAACTAAAGCGCATTTCATTTAACATAACTGCGTTAAAAATTACGAGTAAATGACTTATAACGTCAAAGTCATCTACAGTAAAAAAACTATGGAAACAATAGGTGGATTTTAACAATAACGATAAGGCAACATTCGGAACAGAGTAGCTAATAAAAATGGACAGTGCGACATAAAAATTTTTTTACAAAACCACGATACCATCGACGGAAGCCATTAATGCATTCACCACATTATACATGACCTAACTTCGGGAGCGCGTTTTTCATTCGCGTTGATGTTTGAGCACAGCATCTAATGCGCCAAATTACATCGACCAGTTCAAATGCCTACGTCATACACTAGCAAACGGAACCCGATAAAATTTAAAATTAAGGATTACAATTTATTCACGTATTTGAATTTAGGTACCTTCAATATATAAATATGCTGAACAGACAAAGAAATCTACAATACATCACAGTTATCTTAAAAAAAAGTACACAAAAAGACGAACCTCTCTTTCTCGTGCGTTCTTCCAAAATGCATTGCAATAAAATATCAAGGGGTCTACCAGACTCAAGAGCCAGCATGGCCCCGAGCGCTGCAACGGTTGACGATATTGAACGCACAACGAATTGAAAATCAGCAGCCTTCCAAAAACAATTACGGCGCAATTTAAGACGTTTGAATAAACAATCAGTGAGTGCCAATAGGAGATAAGGGAGATAACGAATGCATATTAAACCAAACCGTTTACATGTGATATGTGTTAAATGTTTTTGTTTGTCATGCAACAAATTGGCAGAAAAAAGTTTATCCCTACGTACAATTTAAATGCGATTTAGAGCACCTATATTTAGTATAATTTATGCAAGCTATCGATTTTTGTTTCTGATTCTAACATTTTTAATGTTTGCGTTTTCTTACCAAGCAGATTTTTAAATCTAACTGAAAATTTGGGATGTTTTTGCAAATTGATTCGAAAAATTTTGATTTCCGAATTGGTATTTTTCCACGCACACTGCCTATTTGTGAGATAGAGTATGATGTGAAAAGAAGCTTATTTTTAACCTAATGATTCTGCTGACTTCAGGAATGCATGAAGAGCATAACTAAAAACACAGTCTGATTTAATGATAAATTTTCATTCCTTTAAAAATATTACTGACGTAAATATGGAAGTTCTTATTAAAACCCGATTATCTTTGGTTAGTAATACCTATTCATTTATGTTGGGTAAATTTTTCAGTCTTTCGGGTACAAAAACTATTTTCCGATCAGTTAAAAATGACAGTATGTGAAGCAATGAACTTTATTACCATCAAAATAGTAGCTATCAATGTTTTTGGACCGATAATTTTCATAAATATTTATGGAGCTTGTAAAATGTGAATCTTGTGACCCTAGTTGGGGTTCCGAATCGCCTTTATTTGAAATGGGCTGTGAATATGAAATAAGAATGGGTAGGAAGCACCATATGGTGGGCTGTGTCCAACAGACAGCTCAGGCTTGTGAAATTTCCATAAATCATGCCCTTTTTACCCATTATCTGCGTATCGGATATCTCCAGCCACCCAAAGCACGTTAGTTGGGCGGCTGGATTCTGCCATAACTTGGTTTGGGAATAATTCCCTCATCTGTATTTTGTTCGTGGCTATAGTGCGCTATGAGTCGTTATGTGGCTAAAAAGGGTTTCGAACATTCTTGTTTAAGACATTGCAACTATGTGCTAGCAAACAGTTACATTAGATATTGCTTCAAAATAATGCAGCAAATTCAATCAGGCAGACTAAAACGCATGTCCAAAGAAGTGAAATCCGTTAAAGTTTAACAATTACAATGTTGAAGACGAATGACCCAAGTTCTGACCCAAGTATTACATTGCTGGCATTTTATTCCACACCAAATGGCAACATTACATTAATAAAAATATTTATTTGCTTGAAAAACTATACAAATACGATGCTACTCATGAGCCTCCATGGACTTTTCTTCAGGTTCCTGTTTGATATCCTCGAATTTCAAGGTAGTAGGAATCCCACTGTCCATATCATTTTTCTGTTCCACGGGAACTGATAAATCCATTTCTTTGTCCGCATTCGCCTCTGAGGCATTCTCCCCTACAGACGCTTCTTGCTTTATGGAATCAGCAGGCGGAGCCTCTGCACTAACCCCGGGAACGACTTTGGAGGCACCAGTCCTTCGAGCACCCTTGGTGACCGCATACCGACTAATCATAGTCTTTACACGGTCTTCATAGAGCTTGCTGACGTACGTGGCCATTGCAGGCATATCCTCAACGACAACAGGTTGAGCATCAAGCCTTGCATTCATGTGACGAAGAGAAGCGGAAGCTGGATCTCGAGGATCCTACAGAAAAATTGGTCAAATCACCGGCCAGTTACATATTTGAATTATTCAATCTATTATGTGGATTCGTCTGCCTTCTGTGAACTTCATAGATTTTGACTACTACCCTGATAACATGAACTAGCTATCCATGAAATGGGCGCAAAATATGCCAAAGCGAACTTGCATACCATCCAAGTTTCCCAGGGAGTCAAATGTAAGCGCGTGGGACGGATATCTCCACCAGGTCCAAGGCCTCGTCGTCCGAGAAGACGGTCAAAAGCGGGGCGCAATTCCTGACAGCTTGCGAATTGGTCAACGCGTGCAAAGATGTACAGACCAAGGCGTGCCCTTGACAAGGCAACCACAAGACGACGCACATCTCGCAAGTGACCCACGGTATTTGTACGCACCAAGGACACCAGCACATAGTCGTTTTGTTGACCCTTAAAACACATGACGTAAGAGAAATTTGAACGAACTTATCCTTGTCGTAAACGAAAGACAGGCGATTGGAGATAAATGTCAACTGATTTTAATAAGATCAGAGTAGGTGTGGTTCTTTTGCAATTCTAAGACAATTATAAAACTCCAAGGGAACAAAAGTCACATTATTTTCACACAATATAATCATTTTACGATAGCAAAAGCTCGATTTAGTACTAAAGATTAGAACTCAGTGGTGGGCCATGACTAACATCATACTAACAGTAAGCTGGTGTCGACATACAGTTCGGCCAAACTTTTTCGCAAACTTATGCTGGGTTTCGAGGGGACCAGTTACCCTGTGTGCGTATAATACTTTACACTCAGGTGTGAACATCACGAAATCTATTTACTTCACAAGTTAATCCGATTTGAAATAAGAAACCGCGACATGGACTTGGTACTTATTTTAAATTGTCACAAACCTAAATGGCCAAAAGAAATGACAAATTGCGAAAGCAGATTTACCATATGTACAAATGCAGGCAAATTCTGAAGACTTTGTTTTCGATGTATATAGGATAAAAAATTTGTTTTGCATCAACATTTGCGTCTCTGATTAGGTTTAACGACATACCTGGAACCTGTCGACGGTGGTTACAGTTCTCGGCTTCCCCAAAAGTGGATTTTGTGCACAACGCGCTTCAATCACGTCACGAATGAGATGCTTCTGGCCATTGTATGTTGTCAGGATAGCGATTCGATCAGCTGGATATCCGAGAATTCTCATATACATAAAGGTCGCCACAACATACTCAGCTTCAGCAAGATTTTGATAAAAGTAGGCACTTGGTTCCGACTCCCCAACGCCTATTTAACATAGGAAAAATAAAAAGAATTGTGTTCAACAAACACATAGTCACATTTATCCCAACGATGCCCTAAAAGAGGACACCGACCAGGCCGCGAGTCGCATTAGCAAACGCTCGCCTTCAACATGCTGCGAGGACGCACATTCGACCCAACACGCAGCTCCTTACAAATTACCCAAGGCTTATTATTTGTTGTGATAAAACTTGAAATAAGCAAATACTTACCCTTATAATCTTCAACGTTGACCAACTGATACTCATAACGGAAGCCAGGGTTGCATAAATTGTACTCCTGCCCAGTGATAACATGTGGAATGTTATCAAGGCGCTCATAACGCCAGCTGTAGAGTCGCGCGATTGAGGGGCGTGTTCGGCCTTGTGCATCTAATTGAATAGTCGGTACACCTAGCTTCACCAGACGGGTGAAAAGTGACTGGCCCATGTTTGAAAAGTTGTTGAAGGCCTAAAATAACGCAAACAATTGCACTACAAATGTGCCAGTGGTGTTGGAGAGTGAAGACATTGTACAAAAAAGTTGCACGGCGTTTTACTGAGAAAACGCGCACGTGTTATTTCCCCTGTAGGTTACGGTACGGGGTACCAAGATCTCTCTAAATTAAGCCACGTAAAATAAGTTTAACGCGAGTGAATGAAAGAAACCAGATAGTATGGGTGTACCTGATTTTTTACAACTGGTGGAAGTTGATTGTGGTCGCCAATCATGATCCACCGCTTCAATCGGTTGCATCCAGAGATATCCGGATTTTGTAACAACAGTGGAATAAAGGTTTCTATCTCAAGGATTTGGGCAGCTTCTTCCATTATGATGGTGTCATATGTGAAACCCAACTGGACAAGATCCCGGCGTTTGAGAGCGGCATGAGTGCAGGTCATTGCAACTATCTTAGCCTCTTGGGTGAGCAGGAAATTGGCGCGCTCGAGGCCCGTTCTCATCAACTCGAAAGCCCTGAATTCCTCCAGTGTGTTGAAAATAGCGGAGATTGCGCGAAAGCAGGAGCGTGCTACCGACAGGTCCTCTTCTAGTTTTCCACTCTAAAATTACATGAGCCAGCAGTGATGTTCGTGGTCTTGTGCATCACAGAGAAAGACCACAAGGAAAAAACCGGTCGAGTCAAACCACAAGATTGGATTGGCTAATCAAAATAAACGGCGAATATAAGTTCAAGCAAGGAAACATTTTCTCTTGATTTTTTTTGTTCGCAAAGGGACAATCTCCAAGGACAACAATATTTCCAGTGTTTCAATTGGCGTATGAACTACACTGGATAAGGTAACGCAAGTATTGGACAATTAAGAAGACACAAGGGATAAGCGAATCGGGAAAGAAAACAAATGGGAGTGACGGAAGTGTCTCGAATATATGAACAGAATTTTATGTAATAACGGCGCAACTATAAGAAATGGCATTTTTACGAATCACTTATTCGATTAGCATGGCGAAGGACTCAAAGAATTTTATAAAAGCATCGATCAGATGAAAAATTTGGTTGTAAAGAAAACGTGGTGCTTAAAGCAGAATGCAGCGGTTCTCGCGTCGATGTGGCATTAAAAGTCAAGAAATCGCTATAAAAAAGACCAGTATTTGGACATATCTATGAGTAGCAGTGTGTTAGAACAATAGCATCGTGAAGACACAAGATCAGTGAACAAGCCATCAATCACATTCGACCATCGTCTCAAAGAAAATTTTACCTCCAACTGATTCTACGCTCTAGCCTCAAGGCACCCTGGCTGAATTCGACCCCGACTCTCGCCAGGCTTGAAACTCGGAGACGGCTTAATTGCATGCCCAGCCCACATTAGTAGCGATATACTTGCCAAGCCCACATCGGCGACATTAACTCCCCACAATCACCTCTCGGAGATGACTCATCCCCCGGCTTAGTCATACCTCGGATCAAACTTTTAGATACCCGGCCGAAAGAAAAGGTTTGTCAAATGCATTCGCTAACAGGGATAACTGTAGCAAATTATGCCAATAAAAATCGACCCAAGTCCTATCAAGTTGGCATTTTATCATTCGACTTATCCGTGTGTTAGTTCATCCACCCCGTCTCTCGACGTCCTTATTGGTTATGCTAAACCACCCTTCAAACAACCAGCGGTTTACACCCGCGACTTTAACGTCATCTCCGCATCCGGTCATTCAGCTACTGTCTGTTTATTTGTGTCCAGCGAAATTTCTCCCCATGAGCCCGAAAACAACTGGAATGACATGGCGGATAAACGGTCAAGTAGCCCCTGTCTCCCACATGTCTTTGGTTCCGTGAAACAAACACGGAGATCCCTGTATGAATTCTTGCGACTCGTTAACCAGTTGTTAAAAAACTCAAATGAAATAGCCAAGGGCCACACTCACAGGGAAGATCTGCCGTTTAAGTTCCTCGGATGGATTCGTCATGCCGGTGATGAAAGAAGTGAAGGGGAAATTCGTGCGCACGAAATCTGCTTGGTTGGCGCTAGCTTCGCCCCCCTTTTTCAGAAGCTGAGCGGCTCCGGCAACAAATTTTTCCCAACGTGGAAGTACTTCTTGCAGGAAAAAGTATTGTGCTGTTTCACAGGTGTACAGATGATGAGCGTTTGCATCAAGGTCCTTGGTCAAGGGTGTTGGTTCGGAAGCAGCTGATTCGTCATCTTTGCCGTCTTGGGGTTTAGATACCTCTTCGGCTGCCTTCAGTTCCAGTTCCAAGCTCTTGCGCAAAAGCACGACCTGAGAAATGCATGGTATTTATTGATAAACTGCAAAAAAACGATCACTCTATTTCAATACAAGCATGAAATAGTGTAGTAACTCTGAAAAATGAAAAACAATTAACCTGAACATCAGAAAAATAATACCCTGTCACAAGAACCGAAGAAATTAAATTTTAATTTAAATTAAAACTTTGAGCGCCTTAAATTCTTAATTCTTGAAACGAGTTCGTAAAAGGCATTATTCCGGGGAACTTTAACAGAGTCCCGAAGGAATTCATAAGTTTAAATTTCGCATTTTAAATATAACTCAACAAATGAAATATAGATATATAGAAAAAAAAGATATGAAAACAAAAGTGAGATTTTAAACCTTCTGCAGAAGTTCGAGTCGCTTGGACAAAATGAAGTCCACGCGGCCGTAGCGGGAGAAGTCCTTCGTAGTTGCCAGCGCCTCCTCACCGTGACCCAGACGGAGGAGGTGGCGCTCGTCGATATCCAATGCGATAATTTTCTCGAATAATTGGTTTAACGCTTGGTTGGAATGCGTAACAACCAATATTCTGAAAAAAAAGAAGATGCAGTTGAGGCTAAATCACACAACATAGAATTCGGGAGATAACCATCTGACGGTTCGTCGATAACGGCATGACTTGGAAAGGTTGTCTTGTTACTTCGACGACTAATAACAGCGTATTAGTCGCTCTGTTGTAGTTAGGGTTTTATTTACCAACTTTCTGACTGGTTCTGCCCATAGCTATTGGTGGGCAGTCTTGATTTGATTACTTTTTGGGAGAGAACATCAGGAGTGAGTCATTGCAATAGCTGGATTATTGTTAATTCGTAAAGCACGCTGATGTGTATCTTTACTTTGAGAGAACCACATACCTACATCTACATGTAAAATATACAGAAGTGTAATTTGGGCTAGGAACACGTTTACCAAGTGGCTACAGCAATACGTACAATAAATCGATCGTAGAAATCGAGACCAATAATCCGGCATTGTTTTGGCGTCAGATTTATCATTAATTAAGCCACAAACCTTTGACTGGGATAATTGTGATAGAGGTTGTGGATGGTCTGCACGGCGATATCCGTTTTCCCTGTGCCCGGAGGTCCCACTACCATGGTGAGACCGGGTTGCATTCCAGCTCTGATGGCTTCCACCTGTCGTGGAGTGAAGGCTATCCGGTTGCCTGGCTTTAGCCCGGTGGAAGTAGACCCAGGCAACCAGGTAGGACAGTCGATCGTGAGTAAATGCCAGGGCACGTGACAGCCAATAGGCGTGTATGACTCAACCGTGAGTACGGGTTTCGTTTGGGACTCTTCTGCGACTAAGGCCGTCTTTGATTCTGACATTTTTGTGGCCACAGCCTGTTCGTTTGACAAACAGGCCTCCACCTTGACGGTCGGATCTTCGCTCAACGGAGGGAATGTTATGCGATATGGGGGTGGAAGGTCAGCAACTAAAAGATAATCCAAGTTGATGAAGTGTGAATCACCTCAACTACCTCAATGAAATGAACTTTTCCGACATTGTGAAGCCGCAGTAGATCGAACAACAACGGCTGTGCAAAAAACGACTGCCTTTGATGACTGCTGTGTTTGTTATATCCAATTTTAGTCTAACAATATTTTTTGGTTTATAACTAAGCTGACCTTTTGCATATTTGCAGGACTTCGGTCAGGGTTTAAAAAAGTGACATGTGGCTAACGCGGGTACATTAAATACCCTTCAGAATTGGTAAGAACATAATAACAAGTAAGTATTGCCAGTACGTACAAAATTCGTCAGAGCCCTTCAATTCTACGCTAAAATGACACCATTTAGACGTATGACTGGCCGATTTTGTCTTCAAAATGAGTTACCCAGCATGGCAATCGAACTTTATACGACTTACCGTTATTTGCAGAGGGCACTTCCGCAGAATCTTTTTCTTGTTGCTTGTAGCGACCATCTATGAATTTGATGTCGTATTGGGGGAAGGCCGTGCGGATGTGAACAGCAGAGAGAAAGGTATCAAACCAGTTCTGGCGAGGTTCGTAGAAGTTAGGTCGACGAGAGTAATGGGCAGCGGCAGGATCAAGGTAGCCCATAAGCAGATCTAACAGCCAGTCAGGCACGACAGAACGCGTGTTCATTAAGTCTCTAAAGAAGAAAGACTACGAGGTGACCAGACCCAAACTTTTCAGTTCATAATAAAAGCTACATAACAGATTACACGAGGTGCATGGGAGACCACAAAATTTCGCTCATCGGAAAAAAGAAAAAAAAACAAAATGGACAGTCTGAAGACCCAACAGATTTCTTGACAAAGCATAAGGATGACCTCCGCTTAGATGTAATCAGCGATCCGGAGTTCGCTAAAAGAGCATTGATTGTGGACAATGACTCCGCAAAACGAGTGCTTTGGTACCATCCGCTATGGTTATAATGTAAATTTTGCGTTCTCAATAAGGTTCATTGAGTAAGTATAGCCATGCAAGGCAGCTTAGAAAAAGCAAAAATGCCCGAAAATTATCAGAATAAGAACTAAGAAATAACAGTTCGCAATACTGGAAACTTAATAACAGGGAGAGAATCGCAAGCAAAAAGTTCCCCTGAGCCGTCAAAGTTTAAAAGTAAACATCCACAAAAGACGTCACAAAGCAATAAGCCAAGAGACAGTAACATATTTTTGTACCCAAAATAACATCGAAGAGTGCTTACTTTGGCTAAAAAAGGTCCAACTTATTTCATAAACACTGTATAAACTCACCGAATGGTGTCGAGAACAGCCTTGAAATTGTTCTCCTTGGGCTTTCTACGCACTAGCACGTTAAAGGTGTCGTAGATGTCCTCGGGCGACACGGCCTCCGCCTCGAAGGCCTTCTGCTCGAGCAAGGCGATGGCCTCCGCCGAGCGTCCCTCGCGCCTCGCTCGAGCTATTTCTGCGCGGATTACCTTTCCGCGGTTCTTTTCATTACGCAAACGATTTATGTCCTCCTGATACTGGCAAGCGTCGAGAGAAACCCGCCATGTTGGAGCGGTCGTTGCAGCATCGAACTGTTCTATTATTAAAGGAGTCACAGTATGGTTAAAAAGGGTCAAGCGAGGTGCAAACGTGCCAACAAACTGTAGAAATGCAATGAATATTAGGTGTGGAGACAAATCAAATACACCACCAAATTAACACACCTTTACTTGGAACTAAGCCGAACCGCTCTTCATCAGGAATGAGTTTCCCCGCTTTGTCGACCTGGCCTTCAATTTCGCAACCACGAACTGCCAAAATGCCGATCTGGGAGAGGAATGGTTTGCGTGGATTAAACCTGTAATACAAAAATTGAGCGGAACATCAGTGCAATAGAAAGAAAACCTTGTCCTAAGGACATTGAACAATCACGTTAGCCACTTCTGATGGTTAGAAACGGCGTGGGTTGATAAGCGAGGCATAAGAAAGCCAATTAGTGGCTGAAAGTCAAATTCTGACCAAACACTGTGCTACCCATATTTACGCATCGTAATTAATGACTGGAGGGACGATTAAAAACGAATCAAAGAAAGCATCAGAACCAATTTCATTGGCTTTTCTGACGTAATGTTAGCGGATAATTTTGAACGTTGTAAGCGGACCGAAAAAACCCAGCACCAACACAATACGCTTTTCCTACCGTCGACTATTAGAAGACAGGTGGGGAAGAACACACTTATATAGACAGCGTCGACAAATGCAGGTTGACGCAATTGACCACAGAGATAAGCGCGACTACTACATATGGCAATTATAACAAAGTTCACTGCCTTAGACTTGGTTTGTTAGGCAGCATCAAATCTTGCGTGTTTAACGTCTCCCACTTAGCAACTATCACCACAAAGAAAAGGATGAGAAGTCTATGTTAGTATAAAAACACAGGCGGCGAGTTGGGAGTCACCGAGGGACAGAACGCACCTCCAATTCCTTTGTTGACTTTTAGGTTGGACGGTGACAAGAAAGACGGGATCGTGGCGCCGAAGGCCCTGCCACTCCTTCTGAACATCTTCTCGCAGCCCAGCCAGCACAACTCGCACATCGGCTCGCACTCGCGAGGGATGTTTGGCGCCCAAGGCTGGCTTTCCAACTTCAATGATGTTGAAAGATTGAATGGGTAGGGCCATGCGTGACCAACCATCGAAGACGACTTGACCCTGTTCCCCGCTCCAGGGTTTCATGCGACTCAAGGAATCCTCCAGGTCCTGGGTTGTAAAAAACATTGTCATTGATTATCGGACAAATCACAGTTACCTGTTTAGCACCTCTCAGAATTCCTCCATTCGCAATAAAGTGCGGTTCTACGACAACTTAAAAAGCCGCTCTCAATGATAGCGTAAATAGTAACACACGAAACATAGGGTTATGTAAAGGAGCTTAGTAGCAGCTCACTACAGTGTCGACACATGACACTCGGTGAGCATAATGTACACGGACGAAACGCTTTCCTCGTGAATACATCACTGTTAAGGTCCAAAAAACATCTAAAATATTACCTGTCGAATTTCAAATGTTGACTCCAGTCGAAAGAGAGTGAAGTTGCGCATTAAGTAGTCCTGTAGAGTGAGGAATTGAAGACCGAGTTTAGGCAGTGCAAGGCATTCGTCACCGGAGAAGAATTCATTTGGAACCAGATTCTCGTTCCAGAGAAGCTCTTCAGTGGGATACAAAGGAGCATTGTTCATTTGAGCAAGATGAGACTGCTGCACAGCGAAGTGGTATACAAGAAGCTAAAAGGAGAATAAACAATTTTGCTCCATATGCGCATTCATAAAACACACTAAGCGCAGTGAGACATCGGACTACTAAGTAGGCTAATTTCAACATCAAATACTCCGCGACAGTAGTCACAACTATCCTTATTTTGCAAGCGTGGTGGACTCCGTAATTAATCTACAGTTAGTGGTTTTAAAACCATTAAAACTTTGAGTTCAAACCAGGTACCCAATACGAACGGACCAAGTTATAAATGAAGGTAATCACAAACTTTAAATTTCAGTTAATGATGGCATAGGCGAAAGCCAAAAGCGCGTCTCACTATCGCTGGTCATGAAACCAAGCGAACAAATTTGGTGGCTCTCAGAGGGATGCCTTAATAATGCTTGCCTGCAGTGGACAAGCATTATTAAGGCATAAATTTTTGCAAGCAGCAATATTTTACATAAAAAGCTACTTTTGTCAAACATAATCTTCGGTTTGACGTTTTTGACAGAACTTTATTGTTTATTCTACACAAGTAAGGGGACTTAAGGCTATAGAAGGCCATACAAGTAAACGGATGCTAATAAACAAAAGTAGGATACCTTAATTAGCATATCTTTTTGGAATAGCGTATCCGAGAAGCGTGGTGGAAAAGAGTTCACAGAGAGAGCTGACGGCTCGCTTATCTTCCGTTTTTTCGCAGGATGCGGTTTATCTTGATCCTCGATCCCCTCCTGCTTGTTTAACGGTGGTAAAAAGTGGAATTTTGCCGCAAGGTCATACAATTGGTCGTAGGACAATTTTTGCAGAAAATCCGTCAACTTTTCCCGGGATTCGTAGGCAGCAGGATTTGCTACTGCAAAATCGCGGAATATGCCTTCCCTGCTTTCCGAGAAAACAGCCATTTGAAGCCTACTTAACTGCGCGCAGTGCCTACAAAGCGTGCGAAGGAATTAAAGTGTAGCCAATTACCACATTGGAATTTGGAAGTTCAAAAGCCTATATCCCATAAGAAAACATGGAATAGATGTTAAGACACAAAAGGGCTAGACCCATAACAGAAACTTTCGGCCTTCAAACGTAAACACACTCAACGGTACTTGAAGGTTAGGAAACACGAAGACTGAGATATGACGTGGCTGTAAAATCCAACGCAACACAAAATGCCCCTAAATCAAAATTGTGGGACCGAAGCCCATACAGGTTGATAGGCTGACCTCGGTGCAAAATTCACGCGCATGAGCTGAACATCGAGATTTTATGAAAAAAATACCCAGTGCATAACATTGACGAAGGTTGATACAATAAGCATTGCAAGTTTACAACATCATGGGTAAAAAGCCATAAATAACCTTCATGCGATAATTATCTTCACACGAAGCCTAAATCGGATCAAAGATCGGGGAAAGGTAGAACACAAGTGCCTTTTTACCCGAGACCAAAAAGAGGCCATTATAGCTGCCAAGTTCGGACGCAGACTGACACACAACTATAACACCCAAGAGACAACAACACTACAAATAATATTGGTTGCTTTGAGGAAACCTTTTAAAATGGTAAACACATCAAAGAACAATGAAGCACTTATTAGGTAGGTCCGGTTACGGCAGCTTCCACAATGCCGCGGGGTCCAAGTGACGTAAGCAGGTCATCCGTTTAGGGTGCCCTGCCCGTAACATCAAATATCTGAGCATTTATAAAAATAATCCCGATTCGATAGAACACCTGTCTTTGTTGTTACCGCATGGGTTGGATATACGAAAAGTAATGGGACCAGAAGAAAACTGAAATTAACTTTAAATATCCATGCTGTGCCTTGTCGTTGCATGACACTTTTATCAGCTTAATACGCAACTACACCTCAAAATAGTTGAAAGACTGCAATTGGTGAACACATAGACTTGAAACGAGTAAATGTGAAAATCGTGGTAAACTTGGTAAACAAACCTCTGGTCCAATTCGGCAGGGTCCATTGCCTCTCCTGTAGTCAAATCGACCTGAAATTGGGCGTAAAAAGCGAAGATATCGACGAGTTCAGAAAACAAGCAACCTTCTTTTTTTCCTTCCTCCTTGTACAGAGCGCAACTCCGGCAGCGAATCACGGTATGGCGATCATCCATTAAAACCATTAGAAATCGACGCGTTAGAAGCATGCTCGAGAGATCTATCAAGAGAAGCAGGCTTCGATGCAGGTAATGAGAGAGTAGAGGATCAAGCTCCTATAAAAAAGATGCAGACAAAGCGGACGGAGTGAATAAAAGTAATAAGACACGAGGTTGTTAAAAATATACTGAAATCTCCGACAATATTATAAAGTCGACAGAAATTACTATACAAAACCACTAACATTTTAAGTATGAATGCATAGTCCACTTTTACCTACCTTGTCAGCAGGTAAAGCCTCCAACATTGCCAAGAACTTGTCTAGAAAGTTGGCCACAAAAGCACGTTGCCTGGATAGCCTTTGTGCCTCGTTGGCATTCTCAAGAGCGGCTGCTCGCTTTTCCAGTTTATTTAGAAGTTTTCGGTAACGCGGTGGGCCCGCGTCCAACTCATACTCTAGTCGCTGTGGTTGTAGATGGCGCCAAACGGCCAAAGAATATATGTCTTTTAGACAGCGACGCAGTACACCTACTTCGGCGAGACTAGTCAGGCAATGAGAGAGGAAGGTAACGAGAACAATGTGTTCCGTGATGCATTTACGAAGGCTCTCGCGTTCTTTCTCTAACTTAGGGTCATCTGACATGGAGAAGAGAAGGTCTGGGGTAATCGAATCGTCTATAAGCATTTCAATTACGCGATAGACCAGGAGGCCAAATTTTTCAGGATTGTCGAGGAAGCACTATAAGAATTGCACAATAAAAAACCAAGATATAAAAAGACGACGAAACAAAGAAGTTTATTATGGATAGAAACAAGATTTGCACTTAGTTGATTAAGCGGAATTTAACATCTAACGGTAACGTAAGATAATAATAAGCACGGAATCGCGTTTGTTTCTAACATAATGGATTTGAAAATTACCTGCTTAATTCGTCAAGTCAACATATCACTTACTTGCCAGACTGGTACCCGTTCACGTGCTTTTTCATTCACCATGGCGCAGATAGAAACAACATGAGCCCGGCTACTAGCCTCACCAAAATGTGGCCACAGCCAGCACTCTAGGTACTGTGCCAATTCAAGGACCATGCAGCGCCGATGTGAGAACCCAAAACTGATTAAATCTTCTTTGTAAATTCGCTCCACGAGGTCTGGCTGAAAGTTTTTTCTTGGCATCTCATGACGGTCCGAATCAACAGATGAAAGCCAGTAGGTGCGCGCCAGCTGCGCAATACGACCCTGGTTCGCAAAATCGAATGGCGTGGAGGACATCACCTTTAAACCTAGACATGTACCAGACAATCGGGTTAGGTGCGGCAGTCGTAAAAAGTAACTAAATGACCATGAATACCGACAGCTGGGTAGCTAAAGCACTGGAAATTCAGTGAAATTCTTGTGGCGCAGATACTGCCATTAGACATTGCTGGTTCTTTAGCGCCCTAAGTGCACACTAGTGGCAAGAAGCTAATGGGCTGGCTTTTGTTCCAAAACGTGATTATGGATAACAACCGCGGACGTTTTCATCGATCTAATTGTAAAATAACAATGCAAACCTAAACAGGCATTGCAAAGCAAGTAGGAGAAATTACTCCTTAGCAGTATGCTGGTGAGCTTAGGAAAAAGAACTTCCAGAAACCCAAATAAGCGATCATAAAATGCACAAAGAGGAGGCGAATTTTGTTGTTTATTGAGATTTAATGTAGGTAAGGATTTGTAGGAATAAACCTAAATTCCACGACAGAAATGATTTCAAATATTCTAAGGTTTTCGTTGAAACAGTGTTTTGTAACCCCAAAGGAACGAATGACTCCAACGAAGGTTGGCACAGTGTGCATCATGCTTAGGATCATTTAAAAGTTCATCTAACGCTTATCTCTCGTTAGCGGTACTACATTCACAATGAGCGAAGACTTATAAGCGCTGGTGAATCGAACAGGTAGACACACTGAGCTGCGTCACGTGAGACCTACACGAGGACAGCCGGTCAAATCAATGCAAAAACCTTGGCTAAGCGTAAAAAAACCCTATGCGTCAAATCAGTTATCATCCAGATATAAACCAGGGGAACATGGTGCTAGAACACGTGACCAGTGACAGTTAGTACAATAACATTGTACTCCGAGATTTCAGGGCTCTGTTCAACAAAAACAGCAAATTGCCCCGACGTTCAGGAAACACTTTAGTATTCTGAGCATTGATGTACTCACACCTTCTAGCGTCTTCGACTTTGTGAAAGCACAGGAACTCAAACACTGAACTACCCCAAGGCAATTTAAAAAGCACATGGCCTTGCATTCAGAAATGCAAACTAATTGTGGTTATATGACAACCTTAATGATGGTATTTAGAATTGGACAGTAACCATCTCGTGCTAAAACAACTGACCAATTAAATACAACATATTTAGACGCGGTTGTCTAAATTTTAGCAGTATACTAAAAGGTGCTAAAATAAATGCATAACAAGGGATGTTAAAATAGGCCATTAGCTCTCACAATAATGTTGATGAGAACAAACCACGCAAAACAAAAACTCAGGAAGACCAAATTGAAAGCGGCGCTAACTAATGACCGATTGTGGCAGCCAATGTTGCTCCTGGACTGCTGAGACGAAGATTAAAACAATAGGTTAGGTCATCAGTATAATACTTTATAAAAGATAATTTTGTAAACACACTCTTTTTTATTGCAACGTTTATATGTATAAAAATAAATTGCTTCCTCGTTACATATCAGGTTGAAAAATTTTTTGCTATACTGCATTAATGAATCCCAAGTAATAAACGTGGAAACATTCAAATATAAATCACGTTCCTACGAAAAAACGTATGAAAACTTCATCCAGATTTTCTTCCCCTATCACATTTAATTAAGACTTAAATCTGCAAAAGCCAAAAATTTTCATAACTTAAACCGAGTAAGTCATGACAGAACCTCCAACAGAGAAACGAATAAACCACAAAGCTCAGTTAACCTTAGACTCGCTACTCCTTAAAAATCCAGTGCACAGATTAAATCAGTTAGTTAAAAGAGTAAGAATTGCCAATGAGTACTAGAATAATTTTCACAAGATTACAATTTCAGTATTATCACACATAATACAAAAATTCCAAAAAAGCCAGAGGTTTGCAAGAACAGTAATTTGGCACAGAACTAAAATCAGACAATATGCAAATAAAACGTCTGCTATTTTTCGT